TGACTGTTTTATAACAAATGGCAAATGTTTACCTCACTATGTACAGTATTAAATCCAGTTTACTCCTTTTAACTACTGTGTACTACTTATTTAAAAAACGTCCAGTTCCTTTGTGTCACCCTGTATAATGTTGGTCACACTGGAAGTTAGTTTTGACGTAATTTTGTTTCTATCATTGTCTATTATTCTATGTTGTCGTTGTGAGTGTTTTAGTTTCTTGTAATATAACCAGGGGACGACCTATTGTTTATGATTAGATCGTTTTATTTTGGACAAACTAGGTTTAAATAACATATAACTTAAATAAAAAGAATTGTTTTCAGCTAATCCCTAAGGATGACAAATCTACTAAATGCCTATGTTTAATCTATGGTATCACGTACTGTTATGGAGTTCATGTTTTGGGGCCTGAAATTGGAATCAGTGGACATGCTTTTTTTGCAGAGCTCTGTGGGTTGGATTGTTTTGTTTCAGTCCCACAAGCGTGAGCATTTGCTAAAAGCATAAAATTGCCAAAAGTGTTTAAGACGGCATTTTGTTGATGCTAAACAAGATAATTATTCTTAAAAAAACTTGCAATAAAAAAATTCCGACGAGGAGAGGTGTTCAAGCAATTAACATAGGCCTTTAGGCATGATATCGTTTTTAATAAAGGTTTGTAGGAAAGAAACTGTGACCAGAACAGGGGGCGGAAAAATTATTTGGGCCTAGGGGCGCCAAAATGCTAAATCCGGCCCTGGATCTGCTCTGATATCCTTGGACGATGAATGGTGATGAGCGTTCACAACATTTCACAAATCAACAACTTCACCACTCACTGTTGACGATGAACTTGTAGAAATTTCAATTAGACATCAGACCCCAAATTGTTCAATATAAAGTGGATTTTGATCTTTGTCACATTTTTTTATTCCAATGACACACCAGTAAAACAAAGTGATGTAAAATGTAAAGTTATATTTTTATGTTAGCCTCCATATATTACGTTGAGTATATATGCCTGATTAATTGATTGACTGATTGTTAATGCCTGATTTGTGGTAAACGTATGGTATATAATTGCTGCTAGTGTAGCAACTAGTTTTGACTTCTACTAGGTCATCTTCAGGCGTCAAGGATGTCAAAAGAAAGATCACTTCATAAGAAGGTTCATTACACACAATAACACGAACACGGACATTAAAATGGTAAAAACGGTGCATTTAAAACAAAAAACTTAGAAAAGTCTTAAAGTGACGAGTCAATACTTTAAATCGATCTGGTCGTGACATATCATTCCCCAAATACTGTAGTTACCGTTTTTTATTTGATTTAATGTGCCGTTTTTACCATAAGGTACGTTTGTAACTATGACCTTCATTCTTAAGTAATCTTCTTTTGACATCCTTCACTCCTGTGATGACTAACAAGAAAGTCTTAACTAGTTGCAATAATTAGGATTACCACGAAACAGGTATTTACATTAATTTCATTAAGTAATCACATTGACAACTTATTTTACGAGACCTGAACCTGCACTTATACACCAAACATTGACTCCTGAAAATAGTTTTATGAGTCAAATCAAAATATAAAAAATTCCATAACAAAATTGTTCAAAAAAACTCTTTGACTAAACATTCTACAGACACGTTAACCGGAACTTGAAAACTGAAGAATGATGAGGCCGCAACCTTACTACAAAAGGCATCCCAAGAATGCTTATACAAATAAAGTGTCCCATAAGTGAACAGCCAAAATCCGGGATATAGTTCTACAGGGGTTAAAATTTCACAGAGAAAATCGATAACAAAATAGTTCCCAAAACCCCTTATTTTCCAACAACGGATCTTTATGAAACTATGTGCATCTGGTTGAAAATCATGTAAAAAAATATTTATGCATCTAATTTTAATTTGTAAATTACAGCTTTTTGAATTTGGTTTAATAACATGAAATAAATGAATTCGCCAAATTAAATAAAAATATATCGATGAATTGAAACTACAACAGTTTTATTTTTCTCCATAAGAATAACATAGGAATTTTAATGAATTTTTAAAATTTTATTCGTAACCTGTAATTATTGTATAACTAAGCATCAGCATAAGAATTTCAAAACAACATAACACTCCGTTTATAAGACCCAGTCTTGCTGGACTGCAAACTCATTCAAGTTCATCCCGCCTTACACGTTCATGTCTAATTTCATCAAAATCGAGCATGCATTTTTAGGTGCACACAATATTAACAATTTTAACCAATAGTGTTTTTGCCTCTGGGGACATCAAATAGAAAAAGTAACTAAAAATAGGCTTTACCTTTGTCACTGCAGCTCAAATTCTTTGAGGTCGTCACTATACGTGATTCAATTCCTTTGATATCACGGATGATTAATATCAAACATTAGAAATGACAAAATAAATTTTAACAAAAACTTTATCTTCTTTATTGTATTCAACAAAACAACACACTAAACTATTTACTGTTTTTTAACAAAACAATTGAAAAACATATGACTGTTTATATATTAATTATTAAACAGTCTTTTGGCAAACTTATATGAAATATATTGAGGGGTTTTTTTTATCAATGATTAATCATGGTACGTCATCTTGTGGTGTGTTTGAGCTGCAGTGACGAAGGTAAAGCCTATTTTTAGTTATTATACAGCTCAGGGGCTAAAACATGGATTTTAAGAAAAAGTAAACCGGTCCCCAGTCTGGGTCTTTTCTGAAATTTTGAATTCCTGAATATTTGACAAAAGTCTGTCAGCTTAAGATCTTTTATACATATTCTATACGTAAAAGCCAAAAGGTAACTTAGTATCTAAAAACAATACAAGTGGAGACTTAATTGTAAAAATGTTGAGTATTGTCAAGTTTTTCTGTAGTCTTTATGTCGTCTTTGGAAAACATATATGCTTTCTAATAAACTCAACGTAATAAAATAATATATACAGGGTGTGCTACACAAATATTGCTATTTTTGAACTAATATACCAAACACATCGAAGCTGCAACAAAACACAAAAATGAGTAAACAAACACCTCCGAGTCCCACTTGATCGTGACCAATCACTACGAAATTTTATTTGCACAACAATTTCAATTTGTCGTATTTCTTTAAAATGACACGCAAGTTATAGAGATACATTTGGACTTAAATCATAATTGAAATTAATTTGATGCAAAAATGTGATTAATGGACTTCAGTTTGATCAATACAAAGCTTAAGTTTGAAGTCCATAAATCGCTTACAATTTTCTTATCCCGTCAGCAAACCTGATTTGTTAATTTGGTTACACCGCCATTTTGTTTTGATCAATCAGAATCAAATGATACTCGAGGGCATTTTTTTTACATATGTATTTTTTATAACCATAGAGTTTCTAATTAGTAATGTTTCATACAACTGGTATATTAATTCAAAAATATTGCTCTTACTTAGTGAGACACTCGTCTATTAATTTTTGCTTTAGAATTTTCAATATGTTTAAATTAAAAGCCGATTTCAGGATAAGTTGCTGAATACTGTTTTCTGCACCAACTAGGTTGAAGCACAATTTGCCCTATGCATAATGACAATAAAGGACGATTTCTTGACATTGAAAAGTGTTATTCATAGAACAAGTAACTCATCACTATGGTTAAAAGTTATAGCAATGTCGTTTTTAACATTAAAAATAAAGAAAGGCAATAAACTCCAAATTCAGTAGGCTAGGCTCTGTAACACAAAAAATAGTTTTACAGTTTTATTGGTCTTAATTGTTGATATAAGACATAATATATAAATTAATCTAGTTTGGTTGCATGTCTTTTGAACCTAATGAAATTTACAGATAAGATGCTTAAAAATAATGCTATATTTAAAAATAAGTACTAAATATGATGGGACACCCAACTATTTGGTTCTGTTGTTGTAATGTTAGGTTTATAATGCCAACAAATTAAATACAATCTAGGAATAATTTGTTTTCCAAGTACAATACTGACATTTTTTGTCTAAATGTTTGTTCAATAAAAATTTAGTTGCAATTAATTTTACATTTACCTAATGTGCTTGGAAAAAAAGTAACGTCTTTGGAAAAGTAGCTAAAATTGTACCTGTAGCTACATTTCATTGTAGCTGTAGTTGTAGCTAGCTACTTTTTCGGAACTGTAGCTGTAGTTGTAGCTAGCTACTTTTTCGGAACTGTAGCTGAGCTACTTTTTCGGAACTGTAGCTAAGCTACTTTTTCGGAACTGTAGCTAAGCTACTTTTTTTGAAAATGTAGCAGAAGTTGTAGCTAGCTACATTTTAAAAGTAGCTTCCCCAACACTGCTCTATATACATGCCATAATATGATAAAACGTTATGCATTCAGAGAAGTGTGTAGTTTCTCAACTACATCAAATTGAATATATTCCAACATTATGTATCACAACAAAACCACAATTTTCTAAAACTTCTACAAAGATTGTGGGTAAAAAAATCACACATTTTCATTGGTAATTTTATTGCTACATCTACACAGTTTTACAGTTATAACACACAATTTATTTTAATAAAACAAAAATATTATTTACTTTGATGCACCACCAAAGCTGCCTCTTCGCAAATTCGAACAACAAGCCCCGCGCCACCAGGGCTGTCCACGTCTTCTACTCTCCCACCATGACCTTACCCAAAAAACCCAAATAGAAATTGTATAAACATAAAAAGAATAAGACTGTTTACTGATTTGTTGGAATGGTTCTTTCCCTAAACGGACTAAAGGTTACAATCAAGTCATCATTGATTGAAAATATTATTACTAAATAAAGATTACTGTTGTGCTGTATTAAAAGACCAATTAATCAATACACTTGATTTTTGTCGTGAAATTGTTACAAAATCTATAGGCATATTAAAAATAAGCTATCAATGTCAATGATGACTAGTATTTAATATATTCAGATAACAATAAAGAATGTTATAATATTATAGTCACCTTGAAATGTAAACATGTAAAATGTAGCTTTTAAAATCAATTCAAAAGGAGAATGATAATGATTACTATTGACATAAAATTGTGCGAAGGTGACTATAAAAACCAGACTATACTAAAATAGACCTGAGTAAAACAATCATCCGTCAACCGAAAATCAGAAGCCGGTTTGGTTGTCAAAGCACAACTACACAGTCATCCTCATCACAAAAAAAATTAAACTGCACTTGGAAACAATTTACAACAAAACATTTTAATGATGTTAAATTATAACTTAACAGTTACTTGTAAAATTTAAACAATTTTAAATCAAAATAAAGCTGACAATCGATGAGGATTTGTGTACGAGGTGGAACGTTGATAGCAGATTGTGATGTTGCCATGACAACCAGGGTCGCCGAGCAGAGCCGAGTATCCATCAAGCCATGAGTTCATATATGTAGGGAGAAGGAGAGGGGGAGGAGGGGGTAGACTGCTCAGGGGAGGGAATGTCCCAGACTGACGTCCAGTTGTTGTTCTGTGCAATGAAGTGGTCCTCTGTCAGGGGAAGACAGCCTTTCAAGAAACGCCTGGAACAGAATAGAAAGAATTCCTGTTTAATTTTGACAATGGTTACAATTTAATTGATTGGGTTCAACTAATTCATGAGATACAGCAGTCTAAAACAAATTTAAATTTGTTTTTCTTAGAAGAATTGGTTGCATTTTAAGATGGGGTCCTACATTAGAACAAAATATGAAGAGTTATGTTTTATGCATTTTATTATGTGTCTAGTGTCTATTTGACCTTGGACTCTAATTTTCTCAAATTAAAGCTAGGTAAACTCTAGGCCTAATCCGTTACAAACGATGTAAGCCTTTAATATAAGCTTTTAATATTTAACCTTATATCTACAATGACATTGGCTAGCGAGCTAGTCTAATGGTTATGGGTTCAAATGCCACCAATAACCAATGGATTATGTTTACGTGACAATGCCATGACATTCTAGGCCTAGCCTGAAGTAATGTGAAGCAGTTCCGAGCTAGAGATTATGGAGGATGTCAAGGTAGGACATAAAAGAACAACAAACTGACATTCAAACGTAGCAACTCACCAGACGGATTCATCGATGACAGCATGCACCTTGGGTACGGGGAAGCCGTTGAAGGTTGAGGCGACAGGTAGAGTGTAGGCGCCCATGTCCTCAAACACAAGCCAGTCCCCTATGTCCAGGGGCGGCAGCAACACACTGTCCAACACCTGGTCAAGTCCATCGCAGGTCGGGCCCCACACAGACGACAGCAGCGGCTTGCCTCCCTTGTTCTGCACACATAATATAATCAGAAACTCTCATTGATTGATAACATTTCAAGTTATTATTTTTATATGATTACATGTATATTTTTACTGGTTTTATGTTTTTACAACTTTCACCGTTTTTGTATATAAACTCCTATTTATACAGTCAAACGATTCTTATATCTCTCTGACATGGTTGTGTTGTATTCTGACTCCACATTTTGAGCTAAACTTGATCCGTTTTCCCCTCCTGTATCAGAAACACTGTATACTATGTTTAGACTTGGACAGTTGGGATCAAACACAACAGAACTGCGTACAAACTGTCTAACGAATTCCCACAGGCAAATGAGTGGAGACGAGAGTTCATTTACGTAGGCGAACCTGAACAACAGTCGCTCACTAAACTTTTGATTGGTGCAAAATTTAATTTTTCCCCCCTTTTGCTCAACTATAGATACAAATCAACTTAAATTAAACAACACACACCTCGAGTGGGATCGCCTTAACGACAGCGTGATCGTACAAGATGCAGTTGAAGGAGCCGTAGACACCGTCATTGATGTAGTACATGGTGTCCCGCTTTGAGTGTATGAGTGTGGCCAGAGTGTAGGCGGAGGCAACGTAGAACCTGCCGGGCTCTGCGATGATCTGCACGCCAAGTGAGATGGGGAAGTAGTCGTCCAAAGCTGCATTCACCACCTCGGAGATCTAAAGGCAGACAAACACGTTATGTAGACTCTAACAGACACCTCAGTAGCAAGAAGCTGACTGCTGTGGGAAATGATGTTTTTACACATAACATTAATTGAAAACATAAAAACTTAAAAAGAGACTGATGTGATGTTAATACTGATCAACTAGAATTTTCCTAAGAAATTAACAATATTAACAATATATTTGTTAATAAATCTAAAGGCTTACACATGAAAGAGTCTTTATTTTATACCCTAACAAAAAATGCTTGGAACACAATTATGAGGTACATAATTTTTTAGATAGATCTAAGGCTTTCAATAACAAAAATAGATTTTATGTTATGTAGTTTAAAGTGAGTTTTTTTAAGCTATGTGTATTACACCAATTGCCCATAACATACAATAAATGACAATTTTACAAAAAAAAAAAAAAAAAAAAAAAAAAAAATTAACCCTACTAAAGATATAAAGATACATGTCAAATATTTGGCTAGATTTAAAAACAAATTGATGTCAAATGGATAGTTCAATGAAAATGTATAACTGTAACAATGATAGAAAAAGTACATTATTAAGGTGTCAAGTATTTGTGTTAAGAAAAAAACTGTTTCCTAAATGTTTTGTGTTATGTATTATTTTGGGTGAATTAATTATGAATGATTTATGAAGTGTATTAACGTATTTGATATTGAAATATTTTCCAGCGAAAGTTCAATTGATAAATTGTTGTGTTTATGAGCTATTTTTATATGAGAGAATTAAAATTTGAACACCTAACAACATACACATGATACAAAAGCATGAACAAAACAAAAATTTGTAAAATAAGCTACACTGAAGAATGATTACCGGTGGAATTAAAAGAGCTGAAAAGTTTAATGTTAGTTACATGTTACTTTGGAATATTACAATAAAATTACAATGCTTATTATTACTATACTGATTGCCCAGGGCGCTTAAACAACCTATTTTAAAACTTGAAAATTCCTTCTAATAGGACAGGGTAGAATTCACATTGTGACGATGAAGTAACTAAATATTGATCAACAAAGATGTCCATACACTGATGAAATTAGTGAAACATTGGTTTTGAATGAAAGTATTGTTGCTTTGTTACTGACTAAGATCAGCTGGTTCCTTAAATAAGACCATTTATTGAAAGCCAATGATCAAAGTTTTTAATTCTCAGAAGAGCATCATGTGAAAAGTCAAGATCCAACGTTATAAAATCCAAATCCTCAGAATATGAGTGAGATGAACATTGACACTTTCGGACAAGAAGAAGTTGTTCAAATAAATGTCAGAAGATATATAAGGGTGAATTACATCTCATTGATTTCTGGAAAATATTCAGTTCAAAAGAATTTGATGATAAAATAATGATAATACGCAAGAACGCTAATGGAACGGAGCCTTGAGGTGAATTTTCTTCAGGCCCAGGAAAGCTTCATGTAGGAAGCTTTTATTTAATATTAAATATAGAAAAGTAATTTCAGTTTAAAGGGTTGAAAGTCGTCCAATAGAATCGATCAGTATTATTTAATATAGATAGCTCAAAACAAAATCAAATCAAATGACACATTTAAAGACAGACAGGAAAAAATTGGTTAATCCTTTGATAGGACATAATAGTTAAAGAAAATCTCACAATTAAAAATTAGAGATTTACCGAGGATATCAGGAGACGATGGAATGAGGTCATAAACGTAATATGGTCATCAGTGGATGAAGCATACAATAATGAAGATGTACTCTTCTTAATATTCAAGCATGACATTAAAAGCATAATGCTTTATTAAGTAATATAGTAAAAGAAAATAGAGCCACCAGTACAAGCAAAATAAAGAAATCACATCTTGTTTCTCAGTAACTTGATTTGAGCTACTTAGGACCGAATCAGAAAAAAATACTACAGTTATGGAACAAGTAAACAGATGGATTTCAGAGCTTAAAGAAGATATAGTTTGGGATAAATAAACTAAATAAAAAATGAAGGTTGACACACAGAAAATGGGCGTGATTCCAAAAGAAGGGAATTCAATATTAAGTTAAGGAAAAGTGGATTAATGCCAGAAAACATTAACTGGTCCAAGGAAGGCAATAAAATTATATAAAATATGATCCGTCAAAAGTAGATTTTGGTCGTAACTGTTACCAAACACAATTCAGAATTTACCATAGGAGATGGATAAGTTTTTAAAGTACAACACATGTGGTTGTTTGTATAGCACAGGTGGCAAGATGATTGTACAAGTAAAACAGAAAAACATTAATTAACTTATGAGTGTTCTACATGAAAATGATTAAACTAACAGATCTTTGTTCACTGGCTTGGCAATGGAGAAGAAAGACTGATTAAAGTGTAAACAGAACATTCAAGAGATGACAATAACAACTCATCAACTGGGCGAACCAGGTTCAAAAGCAGCAAAACCCTCGGCAATCAGTATTTACAACACTGAAATAACTAACGCTAAAGTTAAAAACTTAGAGCTAAAATTCACCTAAATACAAACTTGTGCAGTATGCAACTAATGTTTCAGGATCACTCATGTAACTCCGGGCCTAAGAGGCCCCGTTAGCCAAATTTGCTCCCTAGTACACGCTTTCGCTCCGTGCTTTTGCCGTCTCTCCGAGCGTAAACACACTTGTCGAAACCTCTTTTCCATTTGATGTTTCCACTTTCCTCCAAACTGGAAATAGAGCAGATTGAGTTGAGGCAATGTTCGCGCCGCGACCAAATCCACTGTCCTACCTACCTGTGGACTGGGCGCGCTCTTATCACTATGGTTAGGTTATTGCGGACGTAACTGGGATAGGCGTGAATGACAACGCAGACCAATCAAACAGTTTTATTAGGCTTTTTAATCATGGGCATGAGGTACAAACATACGGAAATGCTTCTACTTAGTTCTCAACTAAACAAGACTGGTTTCATTGTAGAGTTGTTTCTGAGATAAGTCAAACACAGAATAACAAATACAAATTTTTGGTCAAAATGACAATGTGTATCTGATATCAAGATTTAATTTAACACTTGAAGAATGACTTAAGGTCAAACATAAAGGGTGCCTTTAAATCAAGGTTTGTTGTTAATACGAGGGCTGTCCATAAATTAAGCTCTCGTCGTGACTAAGCAAGCTAGCTATCTCAAATTTGAGACCACTGCAGTGTTCACTTTATTCACTGCCATTCAAGATTGATCCCACAGTTATGGGACGAATAGTCAAGTCCTTGTTGCCAAAAATGATGTGAAGAAAAATATACGTGAATAATCTTAAAGGATGGAACTCACCTAGAACAGTAGTGGATGAAGTTAAGAACACAACAGTGGTCTTATATTTGATCTAGATTGCTTGGCTTTGGCTTGGTTGGAACTTAATTTTAAAATATAGATAAGTAGGCCTATCTTTAAAATAACAAACACAAAAATATTATTAAATTGTCTTTTATACATCACTTAAAGCTTTATAATACATTGCTAACAACAAATTAAATTGCAGCAGAAATCTTAAATAATATTATTTTTTAGTTAAAACCAACCAGAATAAATAGAGACATATCTAACTTGCACCCATTGCTATTAAGACATACTCATTTTAATGTATTCTGAAACATTGAGGTTAAAATATATGTAAAAATGTGCATATTAAAACCAACAATAATATCTCCTATAAATGCTTATTTTATTTGACCCCACATGTGGTTTAACTTTTTAGCTGAACAGTGAACATGTCATTATACAACAGCACTAAACCAGTTATGTCTGCAGATGAAGCAATGTAAATTTAATGTTAATGAGCAAGGAAATTTGACAACATCTTATTCATGTTATATGGATCTGCATCTTGAGTTGACCAAACACCAGAAGCAAAACATTTTTGATTGGTGATACAAGTTTTATATAAAAAGAAACAATACCAAGTGCTTGTTTTGCATGAGATTTCATTGATCAAGGTTTCACTGCAATCCACAATTAAAGAGTAAACCTATAAGCCAAGAGTGTACTTTGGTTTTCAATAGAAGATTTTCCAAATCTAGGTGAAAAATATGGAAAAAATTAAGACTAATAGAGGAAGATTCAGAAAACTGAGAGAATTGCCGACAACATTTTGGCGAGGCAAGGTACCAGCTTGAGTACAAGTGGACATGGCAGTAAGCAGTAAGTAAGGTGAGAAATATACAGACCCTCCTAACATTCCTAACCAAAGTATACAAACGTGAAAAGTTAGCCATGCCTGATCTTGTCTGAAGCAAAATATAAATTCCTAAATCCAATGGACACAATCTTAAGATGAATGCCTAAAAGTAAAAGTAATGTTTCAGTCTTAACTGTGAGTGAGAGTGATGATTTATCTAAAAAAAGAACAAGTAAACACAGCCAGTTTTGTAGATGACGTCAGCGCTTAACAAGAAGAAATATTTTTTAAATCGTTAAACTCCAGACCCTGCCAAGTCTAATGATTCTTTTGTGTGAAATATTCTCACTGACAACAGGAAATAACACAGCATCACAATAGAAGATAGAAACTCCATTGTTATATTTGACTGAAATCCTTTGAAAAGAGAACAACTATACTGAGATCAGAGTCATTATTAAGATTGACTGGGCAGAAAATAATAAACACAAACATAAGAATAGACGAGTTGAAATGCATTATTTAATATCTCATGAACATGAGGATAGTCTAGAAAATAATTTATTTCTACACAACGCTATAACTCAAACTTTCTGGAATCAGCACTGATGCCATTTCTTTGTTAAAGAATAAACTTCCTGTCAGTATGATGTTGCTGAACATTTTAGTAAATACACCATCAACCTAAAAATACATAGCAATAGTTTTGTAGAACAAAATGTGCCGAAATGAAAAATGTGAAATTTGAACACTTGTGTACTACAATGAAAAACAAGAGACAATGGTGAACTATGAAAGATCTAAGCTTGTGATTCGAGGGTAATAATTTTGTTCCTATAGCTTGGATGGCAAAAAAGAAGTTGTTCAAAGGATGATTGCAAAACCATTAAATTCTTGATGAGTTGAGGAAAAATTGATGGTATGTGAACACAGACGTCTGGATCTAATGATGATGAGATAGTTATAATAAAATATGTGCAAATAGGTCAAAGGTATCATGTATTTTACAAACCATACGGCAGTAATTTAAAAATATAAACTTTACAACTAAATTTGGTCCATGGGTAATAATACTAATAATAATGTAGGCTGTATGAGTTATTATAGTACATTTTCAGGACTTCAAGCAAAGAACTTCATAGACTATCAATGACGTCACCTTGAATCACCTAAATAATTCAAAAACCTAAGAAAAATCTTAGAGAAGCATAACAAAATCCAACAAACCGATTAAACAAAGAAGAGTAGAAATTATGGTGCACCGAAAGAAGATATTTGTAAATCTTAATAAATTAAAAACCTATATTGATATCACATGGAGTATTAGTATCACTGGACCATTTTACACCAGATAATACTTACTTAGTTAGAGAAAATATCAGTAGGCAGAAACCACTCAGATTATAAATTATGATGTCAAGCTCAAGAGCGAAAATAAATAAACTTAAATCTACAGGATACAAATAACAAATGCTTGAAAAAGACATTCCCGAGCTTTCTGACCAATAATTTTCTGTTGGAATGCTTAAATTAAGTTCCCTACAAGGTATGTACCAAATGTTCCGTCACAAATCTGACTCTTTGAAGTAGATGTTGGGTATGGGCTTCTATCAAGCCATAGCATATTCTTTGTCAGATCCTTGATTCAGGTTGTATGATATAGCTTGATAGAAGTCCAAACCCAACATCCACTTCGAGGAGTCAAAAGTTGATGGAAAATTTGTCATGTACATCAAACAGTTCTGGTGGACTATATCTATGAATAATACAGAGAAGTAAGGAACAGAGGATAGACTCCTTGGTACAATTAAGTGGCGTTTATTGAAAGGTCCCGCACCGGCCATCACCTTCATGTACTACAACGCTCACGGTGAGGGAAGACCCTGGTGCACTGTGCAATAGAAATTTCCACAAAATGCTTGCCATTTTGGCCCTTCCTTGCTCGTCACAATTATATTTCCGGCATAAAATACAAGAGTTGAAAGCCCACGGTTGTCTTGTAAGCCTGTTTCCTCTGTGCCTTACTTCTCTGTGGAACAATGTTATCACAGTACACTCTGTTAAGATAATCCGTATATTCCTACTCCAACACTCACACCGTAGTGCAAGACCCATACCGTTTTTGCCAACTCACCTGATCAATGCTGCTGCCTCGGTTGCCGGGGTAACCACCACCGATGTCCAACAAGCTCATGTTGAAGCCCAGCTGGCCGCCGAGGTCAAACAGGTCACGGGCGGCAGAGATGGCTCGACGGAACACGGGAGGATCTTGACAGCCGGAGCCGACGTGGAAACTCACCCCCACCACCGTAACTCCCAGCGCAGCGGCCAGCTTGAGCAGACGAGGAGCCTCGACCAGCGGATCACAGCCGAACTTCATCCCCAGCTGACATTGGGCTACTGTAGCGTCACACCGAATACGCAACACCATCCTGCAGACAAAACATCTTCAGTACACCAAGCCTAGTTACCTCAAATGCTCAATTAGATGTCCATTACATTTTGTATTCTCAAAAATAATATATATCTTCAACACAATTGGTCATTTTGAATTTTTTGTAAGGCAAATTCAAAAAGTACATTCTTTGAAATATTCAGGAAAAATTCAAAAGCTTATTTTTTCAACAATGTTTTATATTCTTCCCAAATTACCTGGCGTTAGGGTGCATTTGCTTGACCTTGTACAGTTCACACTCGTTATCGAAGGTCATAGTGTTGACGTCTTGTGAGGCTGCATAGCGGATGTGAGACGCCATTTTGGCAGGATTGGCAAAAATTATACGGCTGCCATCAACTCCTAGGTCCATCACCTACAGGAAAATTTCATCTTTTGTCACATACAGCATTTACAAGGTGAAATTGCTTTCAACTTTAGAATGAAGATATAAACAATGAAAACATACTGACATTACTTGGGTTGTCAGCTGTGTAAAACCAGCAGAATTTATTTGGCAATACAGTACTGTAGTTGAGTCATATTAATATAGTCAAAATACTTGTAAGATTCCAAAACAACGTCTAGAACATGTTCCTACAGCATCGTCTGACCAGTGTTTCCCAACCTTTGGTATGCAGAGGTCATTGTGGTGTACGTAATAAAGTTTTAAATAGAAGTATTCTATAATATGTCAGGATTGTTTAGGTTGACGCGTCAGTATTATTTCACTCCCGATCGGCAACGGCAACTTTGTACAGTCAACAATACGTTACAGAGGAGACAGGATTATAGAAACCTATGCGACCGACTTGAAATTTAGCACACACGAAATATTCAAGCAATAAGTAAACTCTCATGCATTGTGCTTTGTAGTTCACTCAGATATGCATCAATTGCAAAAATATAACCTTCTTAGGAAAGGTTAAAACTTATGTTTAGAAAATGGAATGGTTAGGTTAGCACAATAATAAACACATCCATTACAATTACCTCCTGAATTTACATACGCAATATATTTTTGTCTTGTGAAGTGGTTCAAAGAAAAGATGTTTGGAAACACTAGTCTAGGCTACAATATATTATGGTTTTTATTTCAAATTGATAATTTTTAACATGAAACAGTACCTTGGCGATTTCTGTCTTGGACGCACAGTCGAACCCGGTTCCTAGAGCCGCGAGGGTAGCCAGGACGAGCTGACTGTCATTGCACTTCACCGCTACAAACGGAAACAGTTATTAGTCTATTAGTTGTATGTAACTATAAAAACATTAATATTGAGAAATAGCTAAATTTATGAAAATATTTCTAAATTTTTGGACAAGCACGATTGTGAAAATAAATCTTAACTTCTTGAGAGATACTTCGCAATACCATGAGGTTTTTTAAATAATTTAACTCGCTACACTGCAAATAAAGATAAAAACATAAAATGTTTCTCTATTCACTCTATGAAGAATCTCTGTACTAGGTCAAAAGATCAGTTGTGACAAAAAAGTTGTAGAATGTAGAAATATTTTTTTGCAACATGTAAGCCCTTCGACATCAATTTTCTCAAAAAATGTAGCTTAGGTATATTTATCTTATTTTCACATAAATTCCTTGTGTGTTGTAAGTATTTCCAAAACATAAAGATTTTAGTCTATAATTGACTGAACCAAACTTAAGGATAATTAAATTTTAAAAAAAGACGGACATTATAAACTATGGGCAAAACAGATAGGTGAATTACATTGAATCTAATACTTAAATGTAAAGCACAGCAGAATAGCACATTTCGTACCTAGGGCCGAAAATGGGGTTTTGTAGGCTCGAGATAGTTTTTAAGTTCAAGACAAAGTCGAGAACTTAAATCGATTGAGAGCTGCAAAACCATTTCGGTCTGTGGTACGAACGCTATTTTTCACCACACTATACCCTATTACCACTATTCACCTCAATAATAATGCACACTGATAGTCAACACAACTACAACTTTAAGGTTATGTGAAGAAATAATTTGAGGAATCAGCAAAAATAAAAATAAATAGTTGCTAGGCAACGGTGACAATAACAATTCTATTGCAACGCTATGGAATTTGATTGTGTATTTAATATGCATTCATGTTTTAAGTAAGTAAGCGGGCAGCTGATTTTGCGGTCCTAGGGATGTAAAAACCTGCTCGGTCCCAAAATAACAAGACAGCTGGCATGGCCAGCAAAACGTAACTTTCAGCCACCAATTAACATATGTAAAACCGCTAAAAACATCATAGTGTGGTGAAAATATATTTTCACCACACTATGATGTTTTTGGCTGTATTACATACGTTAATTGGTGGCTGAAAGTTACGTTTTGCTGGCCATGCCAGCTGTCATCGTAATTTGGGTACCGAGCAGGTTTTTACAGGCCGGGGCCGCAAAATCAGCTGTCCGCTAACTTAAAACATGAACACATTTTAAATACACAATCAAAATCCATAGCATTGCAATAGAATTGTGTTATTGTCATCGTTGCCTAGCAACTATTTATTTTTATTTTTGCTGATTAATCAAATTATTTCTTCACATAACCTTAAAGTTGTAGTTGTGTTTACCATCAGTGTGCATTATTATAGTGGTGAATAGTGGTAATAGGGTATAGTTTGGTGAAAAATAGCGTTCGTACCACGGACCGAAATGGTTTTGCAGCTCTCGATCGATTTAAGTTCTAGACTTCGTCTCGAACTTAAAAACTTTCTCGAGCCGGCAAAACCTCATTTTTGGCCCTAGGTTCGAAATATACTATTACAGCTAATAAGTGTGGATCTGTTTTTTTTTTACAGTAAAGTATAAAAAGGATACATTAAAAGTCCGATCTTTAAGTATTCATGATTTTATTAATTAGCAAGTGTATCTTTGAATCACCCATTTTTTTTTCCGAAGAGGTTGGCAGTTTTCTTTTCTCGTCCACATATGCTATGGATTTGAAAAAGGAACGTATCCAGCAAAGCAAGGGATGAGCCAGTGCAGTACAAGGGCGAACTGTACTGATAAAAACTAGTGGCGTACCAGAATCTGAACTCACGACATTGCTGCCTCGGGCCCAAAATGAGTGGCACTACCAACTGAGACTCTGACTCACTAAATTTAACATCTCTCCTTACAAGTTTATCAGTATATTTTAAAATTACACTAAAATTAATTGTATTAGAAGAATGTTTTGTGACGACTGACCGTAAAAAGGTTCAACTCTGGGCATCTTCATCTTCCATTCTGAGTGTTTGTGGACAATATCCCCAATGTCGAGGACATAAAAAGCATTCTCCTGGACCTACAGACAAAAATAGGTTTACAACATTGCATGATTGAGGAAGAACTACTACAAAATTATAATGCCTAAGTATTAAAAAAATGTAGAAACAGATTTTGCCTGGTTGAATAATGTGAGAGAAAAATACTTCTCCGAGCACTTATTTCAAGAACTACATATTTTAATAAATGTTGTTTTTATATATGCATAGAATTTCAAAGCTACTGAAATTTTCAATTTACTTAAGAACCAGTAAATAATTTTATAGAAGTTTGCATTCGCCTGATTCATATTTTTAATGTCACCACATACATTTGACACTATAACCAAATTTTTCGTCTTTTGAAAATTAGCAATTGTCTTTGTACTTTTTTAATAAATTATTTTGATGTTATTTTATTTACAACCAAATACAAATTCACTTATCATAGCAAATGGTTCCGATTTCCTTTGGAATGTATCTATTTAATTATTATTTAGTCTATGTTTTCAAAGTTAAAAACATCACGCTGGAAGAAATCAATGGAAACGTGCAAACAGATTTAAATAAATTTTTTACGTTCAACTTTCTCTGCAAAATGAATCACTTGATAATTCAAAACAACAAACTAACTCCAAAAACAGAAAACGGAAATAGTGACTCTTCCTTCTTCTAAAGAGGCCTTGGTTGGAAATAGATTTGAAATGGTATGTATGTTGGTTCAACGATGAATAAAGGAGGGTAAAAGCGGAACTAGTGAGAGAGGCAGAGAGGGGGAGAGAGAAAGAGAGAGGATGAACCTGGAGTGCGAGGGTCGAAGAGAGGAACTTTCAATCAAAGTTAATGTTGGCAGCGAGCCAGCCAGCCCATGTGGTTCAATTCAAGTCTCACATGTTACCTTAATACCAACCAACATTTTGTATTTTTGGCAATTTCTGCTCTTTGCTATTTTCAACTACGGCACCCGAAATAGCGTTCTTTCATCTTTAAAACTCAATAAAACAGTTGAAGAAACCTAATTTACAAAGAGAGAACTGGAATTGGTTTTTAGCGACAGCAAATAACTTAAAATTACTACGCAGAAACACAACAGAAAATGTGTGAGAAATCAATAATATATTAAACTTATTTTGGAACATATCTAATCTTCCTTAAAGAAAGTTCAAAGATTTCTTGCAAAAATATTCTCGTTGCAATAAAATATCTAAACAATAAAATATTGGTTCTTAAGAAAGTTAAGGTCATAAATAACATTTTAATAAACAACAATTAGCAAATTGATTGGGTTTTAGGCTAGTAATTTAAAATCATACCTAATTGAATTCATCCTATTCTGAGCTAACAAATAATTATAAAGTAGTTCTAAGGGTTACAATACATTACCACCTTCAGTCATGAAGTTATACATAATTAAATAAAATAGAAAAAGGAAACCTAAAAACAAGGCTATACAGGGGAAAAATATGGATCTTCAAAGGATTCCTCTACCATATCCAGATCCTTAACCAACAATTTCTTTCTTACATCAAAGAATTTAAGGAAACAGATAGTAAGTATTACGGTAACTATTAAGAGTTTTGGCGATAGTTAATTTGATTTAAATACACATAATTCCGTTCACAAATGTTAAGAATTACTATAGGCTACGTTGTTCCATTTCAAAATAAACATGGCTTAACATTTAAAAACAAAAGAACGCCACGCCATATTGGTGACAGTGTGTTCTTTATTTTGTCTGATAAATAAATGTAAATTTGTTCAAGACTGTAAAAACAGCTTGTATCATGGACAAAGTCAACTGACATCAGTCTCACACGCAGAGACCTTGAAAACATTTGGTGTGAAACACTTGGAATGACAGAGCAGACATTGAGTAGTCATGTGTCAAATAGTAGGCCTATGATAAGGTTTTCATTGAAAATAATTTAGGTTAATAACTAATTCAGATAAACTTGTATTTTCAAAGCAGGCAACTGTTAGCAAGATTAAAGTGGTTTAGAAAAATCTAATAAACAAGATATAAAAAAGTCAAAAGAAACATAACAATGAAACAGTTTCATTATCTGTCTTTAGTAAAAATGTTCGTCAAAAAAATGGTGCTGACCAACTGACTAGTTTTGTCGTAAATATAACATTGACAAAGCTGCAACAATACACAAGGCAATGTTTTGCTTGCAACAAAGCGAGTCAGCACCATTTTGTTACGACATATTTTGACAACTAAGGAAGCCCATTTTGTCATAAAGTTGTTCAAAGCTTTTTAAATTGACGTTTTTATGTCTGTGAACTAAAATTTGGTGGTCTTATTTGTTTGGCTATAGGTGTGATTGCTCACAAACAAGTTATATACTATGCAATTTTAAAAACCTTCTCAAGGAGCATACAAATTTGGTGTTATGGAAACATTGGAATTGATACATGGCTACTTAAATAGTAAATGTTAAATGATACAAACTGCTAGAAAAAACATACCTTAAGGAAATATTTTCAAAAAGTATAAGGTTCAGCTAGCTTGCTCGAAGAAAAATCCAAGGGCTAACAATAAACGAAAATAACATTGATATAATTTGCAGGACTTCATTTAAAGATCAAGAGAAATATGTAAGCCTGAGAATTTTCTCAGATGAGTTAGTAGAACTAACTTTTTCAAAATAATACCCTAAGGCTTCCTTAAATTAAGATCATTCAATTTGCAAGTTTGATACAATGGAAAATCGGTATCAATAACAAGTCACTCTTGATAACAAGTGTCATTTTTAAATCCCCTTGAATTAATTTATATCTAATCACATTTTATTGCAAATCTCCATAATAAGTCAACCTTTAAGTCCTATTTAATAATCACCATGAGAGTCTAGTTATCCAGGTTCTACTGTACTCACCCCGGACTGCGCGATGGCGCGCAGCACGTCCATCGGCGCAGTGTCGGTGTCCAGGACGTGGATCATGTCCGTCACAGATACATTCCTCATGGCGAGACAGCAGAAGACGTGTCACAAATCCGAACAAGCAAAGAGGCAGCTCTTGTCCAGTCTTGGACAGAGTTGTGTTTAAACTAAAGTCTAATAATTAATTTGCGGTTGTCAGCACTGCCACGGGGGGTCGCCGTTGAGCGCCTCACGCCAGTCGACAAAGTTTAGAGGGCTGCGCACCAGCCGACCCGAACCCTGCAACAATAAACAAAATTATTATAAAAAGCTGTAAGTTTAGCAGAATCACCCAAGTAAAAATGTTTTGTAAATTTAGTTCTTAGTTTAGAAGCTCCCAAGTCTATTTGGTCAGGGTTGTGCAACTTGCAATTAAGTACTGTGGTAGTCAGTGCCAATAATGGTTAGGCACAAAAATGTAGTGATTGTTTAAATGATTCAGTCACAAGTATTTTACAAATAAAAGTCGATTGATTTTTAACTTATAGTCAAATTCTGTGAAGGCATCAACTGATATTGGTAACAACATGAAGAAAATCATAAATAGTTTTTAATATTATGTTGTCACTATAGCAACTGTTAAAAGCAAATAATACAACAAAAATAATTAGATAATTTTTTGGAAGAAAATTAGATCTGTACAGAAAATTCAAAAAGTAAATATGTCAACTAACAAAAAAACAGATACAGTTAAAAAAAGAAAACAGCAAAAATCAAAACACTTTGTCGCTAAACTGACAACAGTGAGAACTAAATATACCAAGAGAAGGACAAAGAAAACATTCTATACCGACAAAAATAAGTCTAACTCTGGAAACGAAACAAAGCAAAATGACAACAAAAACAGAGAACCCAATAAAGGATATCGAAGAAGACCGAAAAATCATCTTAAACGACCAAATGTTGACGAAAGAACAAAAGAACGAGATGATTGTAGTAATTATCCTTTGTACAATTCAGATAGCAGTTCAGATGAGGAGAGGCTTGCTGTGAAAAGACGACGGAAAGAAGTAAAAGAACATCTGCATGATACACGGAAAGGCGCTGAAAATCGTAATAGAAAAAATACCAAACCGAAGCGAGCAAACAACCACATCATCAATGAGGATGACGCGTTTAAAAACAAATTTCTTTGAATATTTATTGTAGTTCAAGGTTGTCTTTTGTTTTCTTAAAAATAAAACCACATTTGTGTCTAATATATTAGTGAACAAACATTCAAGCCTTGATGCAACCAAGATCAATATAACAATAAGTTCCATGGTGCAAATAATTTTAATTTGTAGTTTTCTGTATAGGCCTACTCCATAAATTTTGTCAAGGGATTTTAAGAATACAACCTAAATTAAATAACAGTAAAGTAGAAAGTCATTATACAGTGAAGTAACTTAGAAAGATTTATTTAGTCCCCTATAGGTAAAAATCATAGCTCAAAAACCTCAATATAACAAACTTCAACAAGTAAATCCTTAATAAAAGGATTTCACTCGAATTATTCAAACCTTACAGATTTGGTTTGGTTGCAACAAAGATTAACTAGCCTACATCAACACATTACAACATTAAACATTAAGTCTCTAAACAAAAGAAAAAGTTTTTTATGTACTTGTTTCCCAATCAGAATATTCAAAATAAAGAATGATGAAGAAAGAAGCGCTAATTTTTCTAATGAATATTTTAAGTAACAAATAAATGGCCAAGTGTAAATCGTTTTCTAACATGACCAAATTAGACAAACATTGCTAACTCAAGGAGGTAGCATGCTTGGTTAGTAAGAAGGCTTCAACGAATTAGCGCTTCAGCCCTAGGAAATTCAAGGTCACTTGCAAGAAGATGATAATAAATGGGCAACCTAAAACCTCTTACCTAACCATGACCATTAAAAGCATACTTTTGATAAACAAATTTATGTTTTGACAACCAAACAAACACATGAGAGACTTTTAGTAGGGAGATACTTAGATCATTTCTAATAAGCTATAGAAAACCCAGCTTTGATCAAATTTCATGAGACTCATATTTCATCTTCCGATTCTGAACATAATGAAACCATTGCACAATCGAGCAAATTTATTAAATAAAATTGTATTTTCTAGAGAGTTAGAACCAGATAGATGTCTGGAACAGGTTGAATCGACATTTACAAATATTACGAACATATCAAAATTATAATTATACAAACCTAACTGTTAATTATGTTTCTGATGCACAAACAATTCGCAACTAAATACCTTGAAGAACCTAGTTATCTTGGAACCTGTTATCAACGGATAAAATTATCTGACTAATTGATTATGGCAGGTAAGGTGGTGGAACATCAATTTCTGTGTTATTTACTTATCACAGCTATGTATATTATTAGCAAAAATACCATCATCATTGAAACAATTTCAATAAGGTTTGGTAAAGGCTTGCCAACATGCCAATGATGTTCATGCTTGTAGTTCATAAATTGTTAAGGTAGATGTGGACATTTTTACTAAGAGAAAAAAATTTAGTGTTTAAATTGTCCAAACTTATTTTTATTTTTGACAAAACTCTTGACTGTTTAAATTTGAGCCTCATAACCATCTGATTTAAAAAAAATTATCTTTCAACTAAACAAAAATTTGAGCGACATAGTGACCAGATTGATTAGAGAATAATGACAGTTTTTTGTAACATAAAAAAATAATAAAAATTTAATGAGAAAATGTTTTTAACTCTATAAGTTATTTTCTGATATATCAAATTTTCTGCTTCTCTTGAATTGGAAAATACGCTATTTCAGTGAGTCAACGTAAAAAAATGTTAAAATTGTTCATTTAAAGTGTTTGTACTATTATATCAGAAAAATATAAGCTCATTACATCCTAAATGACTTTCATTTCTATTTTAAACTTGACACAAACATCCTTATATATATATAATACGTGAAGGCGATTTCTACGAAACACTACTCCTCCGTTAATAATGGACGGATATTTACAAACAATGTGTGAAAATAAAGTATTTTTTGTGTAGACGCCCCCTTTTACCAATTCCTGTAATAAAAGTCCTCGGGCTTCGTCCCACAGGCAATCAAAATTCCAATGTATTTCTTATAACGAAAAGATTTTGTTTACTTAATCAGACGAAAAATTTGTATTGATTACAGCTGTTCATAGTAAACACATGATACACACAAGAGCCTTCGTTTTTAGAGTGAGTTTGATTTTAGTTTCGATAACTGGAGTGGAGTGATTCATTTCATTATCCTAAAGTTGACTCTTTTAAGTCATCTAAAATTATGACTGTTACTCGTTTTGAAATTGTAATACTTTGCAAATTGCTCGAATTTGAGCAACAAGAGCACTAGTTTTACTAAATAACATGATTTTTACTTAAATACTCAAAACACTAAGGGGGTAACGTAAGTTGTCTCTAAATCAACCCTGCAGAGAATATGCGGAAAATTGTTTGTTTAATGCTTACACATTCAAATTTTGAATACAATTTTTTAAACGGTCTAATATGATAAGCTATTGATATTTAGTTTAAAATAAATATGAATTGATTGTATGAATGGTTTGTTTGTTTACAGCATGTGTTGTACTGTATACAGTACTAGCATAATTTAATCAACAGATAAAACAATAAAATCATCAAATGCTGCAAGGATCCAAGGCCACTAGAAAAACAGGCTATGCTGCAACTACGTCACAGTGGTGGATAGTTGTACTTAAAATCTTACAAACAGCCAGCTTGCTTATTTACCTAAAACATATGGGAATGGCAATTACAATGAATTTAACAATGAATCTATCCACTAGTGTGACGTCATGGATCCTGCAGCATGGCCTAGTGGGGCCTTGAATGATCCCCGTCATTTTAGACTCAACAAACACAGATAATCAACCTGTGATAAACAAGTGTGGAATGATTACCAAAGACTATTTGACAAGACTGAATTACTAAGCAATCAATCAAGATAAATTGATTGATATCAACCCTACAGTGGGAAATTAATCTTCTTTAGTTAAACACTACTCCATAAATATAAATTATTTAGGATTATTTAAAATATGTAATAAATTACAATGTCTTTTCATTAATAGGCTTGCTATTTCTCTCACTACATCACTTATGGAATTAGTAAGTAATTAAAGTTATGATTTTAAGAGTATATATTCTAACAGTAATTTTTACTGTCCTCGCATTTAGTTGCAATACAACAACAATGAATCATCTCGAAGATGATAATGGAAGTGAATGGACTTCGTGACCTGTTATGACCACTTTTTCATTGTTTCCTTGTTTGTGTTTTGTCAATATGTCAATGGCGTTGGAAAAATCTGTTTTGTAATCTTTACAAACAAATAATGAATATTTACTAGTAAGGGAAAAGAAAATGAGTATTACTATTCAAACGTAATATGTGTACAAATTTGTGTATTCGCTACATTTATTTCAAATTGAAGGTTATTGCACAATAATGCAACTTTGAGATGAAAAATAAGTTTAATAGGTTGGTTTTATAGGTGAGATAGGTACCTATCACAAAAAGTAAGTTTAATTTGTTGCTACATTTTTACGAAACAAGAACATACAGTAAAGTCTAGCTAACAGTTTTCACTAATCTTACAATTAGTAGGCTAATCAATGAAAAAAAGTAATTATAAACGTGTATTGAATGTTCGGTTCACTAAGATCTGTGAAGGTATTTTACACATTAAGAATAAAGAATGTATATTATCAAAATAGTTTTGATATGTTTAATAACAAAATATGCAATTCTTTAATTTGTCTTCCTTGTTAGCATTCTAGCACCATTGATTTTGCTTACAGATTTCCAATTTTAATATAGTAATTATAAATAAATTAAGCTTCAATTAGAAAAATACAAAGAAATTAGAATTTTTCTGTAATCAAACCTAACATTGGAAACAACAAAACCAACAGAATCCATTGCCTCCTAAGTTACTAAATACTAACACAACTACTAACAATCTAACCTCTCACTGTACAACACATCACAAAAGTTTTGGGAAAACTCACCCTACCTTTCGACTCCACTTTCAAAAACACTCGGACACAAGAAGTAGAAACGGCTAGGGTCGGCTGAGCCCCGAAACACAAACAATAGCTCGATAATTCGAGCCGTCCTAGACACTCATTCGCAAAGCTTCTGAAGTCTGGCCCGCGTGCTCAGCTGGCTTATATACGGGGTATCAGTGACAGCCATGTTGTTATCAGTAGTTACACAAGTGCTGCTATCTATG